AAGCCAGCCACACGACGAGGCCTCTTGAGGTCCCATTCATTCCTTAGGTCATTGGTTTATTCCTTCAGGGTGTATCTGAGTGGGAATGTGGAGCTCGTCCTGTGCTAGGGGTTGGGCAGCAAGACGAGCCTGGTCCCTGCTCTCAGAAGTAATTCTTAGCGCGGACCGCCACACAAAACCGCCACACAAAGTACCAGAAGGGGGCTTAAGCCATAGAAACGTAGGCCTCACAGCTCAGGGGCTGGAGCGCTGGGATCCAGGTGCCTGCCGCTGCGTCCAGTTCGAGGAAGCCCTCTTCCGCCTGGGAGCAGCCACGCCTCCCTGTGTCCTCCCACTGTGTCACCTAGTCCATCCTCAGGATTTCATCTAAACCCAATCACCTCCAAGTGCCATCTCACAGGGGATAGGGCTTCACATGGGAGTTTGGGGAGACACAATTCAGTCCACGCAGGGCGGGTGTTCTGGGTGTTGGCGAGACCAGCTCTGAGGCCCCATCCAGAGTCTCCACCCTGGGGAGAAAGATGCAGACTGCTGTCCAGGTACCTTGCTAGGAAACTTCGGTTTCCATGGAGATAAGCAGAGTGGTGGACCCCTCATTCTCACTTGTGTTGTATTAACTGTTCTCACTACTCTGCCCAGACACTTTCAACCATCAATTCTGCCCCAAAGGTGTCAAGGTTACCCATGGCTTGCCTTGTCTCCGGCCAGTGACTGGGTGTTGTGCGTCCATGTGCTTGAGAGCCAGGCTCCGAGTTGGGGTTGGCCAGGCTCCTCCTCCTCGGGGGTCCATGCCTGTTTCCTCCCCCGTCTCCCCCTTACTTTGGATCGGAGGAACTCTAGGAGCTAATAGACAAAGGCCTAGGATCTGCACAATTGTGTGGATGGGAGAAGAGGGCTCTGCATCTGGCTGGGTCCCTCCCTGCCCACTGCCCCCAGGCGTGAGGAATCTCTCCCTGGCGCCCACAGTGGGGACATCCACACTTGGAGCCAGAAAATCTTCGTGGGGCTGATCTCCACGGCTGGATGCACACGGGGACCCGGGTTTCCTGGACAAACTCCTTGACGTCTGGGCAATGCCAGGGGTGAGCAGGACAGGGCCTGAGCTCTCTGCCTCCGGCTGGGCCTGGCTGGGCTGTGTGGACAGTGGTCCCGGTTGTGCACACCATGAGGAAGAGGCAGGGCTGAAGTCCAGCTTGGAGGGGGTGACTGTCTGCTTTGGCTCATTTCTGAGGTCTCCGGGCAGCGAGGGGCAGCCAGGGGTTTCAGGAGCCCCAACCCCTGCAAAGGGTGCTGCCCTGGGACAGTATCCTCTGCTCCGAGCCTCCACAAGAGCCTGGTGACAGACTTCCAGACCCCATTGAGCAGCGGGTGAAGTAATCCCAGCGTTCACTACGTCGTGCTGGTGGGCCAGGATGCCCTGCTCAGGCAGAAGGCACCTCAGGGCTGCCTGTGAGCCTCATGGCAACCTGAGATGGGGCTGTTGTCCTGGGGAAATGGAGGCTGGGAGAGGCACCTGGTCACTCAGTGCCAGCGTCCGGAGGTGGGGCAAGCCTGCTGCGGGATGGCAGATGGACCCGAGTCTGGGCACCTGGCCTCTAGGTGGCAAGTCTCTCACAGATGAGCCTGTTTTCTCCTCTGAACCTCGGAGATGGGGCTTCTGGGCCCCCAGAGGCGAGTGAGTGACATGGTTGATGAGGTTGAGCCCCGGCCCAGAGAGCTGGGCTTGGGGTTGCTGGTGGGCGTGGGGTGGTTCAGGAGCTACCTGACCCCTCATCCTTAAACATGCCAGATCAATGCAGGCACAGGAGAGCCTCGGGACACGTGACTATTGTCGCTATCACTTCTGCCAGCAGCTCGAGCCCATCCACTAGCTGACATCATTTACGATGAGAACCAGTGACCGTGGCTGCCTCCTGTATACCCCAAAAGGGGATCAAGCTGGAAAAACACACCATACACAAACTGGCAGGTGGGCAGCCCAGCATCCAGCCAAAAATTGCCCACATTTTCCCTCTGTTTAGCTTCCTATCACCCACCTATCCACCCACCCACCAACCCTTCCATCCATCTTCTGAAGTCAGGCTTGCTTTTTGAAACCCTAAGCTTGCTGCCAGCATCCAAGGAGAGAACAAACATAACATCGACAGCAAGACCCAAGACCAAGTTCTCTGCCATCTGTCCCTCCTAGATTTCTGGTGGCACCACCTCTATTCCTCCAGGATGCCAACCTGCTCATACTCCGTCCTCCCTCCTGCTGCCCACAGGCTGGGCCCCAGCCCTCTCACCTCTTCCTGGCACTAGAGGGGACAAAGGGCCCATGGTATTTGGTGTCTCTCCCACCCACCAACTCCAAAACAGGAGGAACCAAACAGACTCAGAGGTCTGCTTTCCCATCTGACTTTATTTCATTTTTTCTATAAAATTCCTCCATAATTTCACAATTTAACAAAAAAGTTTAAAATCCAGGACAGAAACAATCCTGTAACTTATTACAAGCACAATTCTCCTTATTCCTTTTATCCAGGAGTTGGTCTCAGGCTGATAAGTGTCCTAGTTCCTAGTGAGACACAATCTTTGTAAAAACCCTTATGGGAAAGAAAGGTATTCGATACCTTTTGCTTTCAGGAGTTGGTTTACATTTTGTTCAGGAGATAGCAAAACACAGAGCTTTGCACTGGGGCAGGGGGCTTAACACTAAACACGTGGCAATCACAAAGTGCCTGCCCCTTCCTATGGAAGCGTCCCAGAGCCCCTGTGGGCCCAGCTGCCAGGCAGCTGGGGGGTGAGTAGGGGAGCAGCTGGGGATGCTGCGGTCAGGGCCCTGGCTGCCTGGATGTCTATTAGGTGGTCACGGGCCAGCACTGGGCCCAGCGCAGCTCCAGAGGACAGCACTGAGGCCTTCTGGCCAGAGGAGGTAACTGAGAAATGGATCGGTGCTTCCGAAGGCCCTGGAAACAGCTGAAAGGGCCAGATGCTGCTGATACTGAGGGTGAACCAGAGAGCCTTTCTCCAGCTGCCTCTGGTGAACCAGGCTCCAAACAGAGGGCTGCCTTGGCAGCCGTGTGAAGCCTGCAGCCCTTTCCAGCAGGTCCTCAGAGAAAGACTAGCGCCCTTGAGCTGAGGCTCTTGCCTGTGACCCCTGGCAGCCTCTGTGCAGAGAGGGCCAGAGAGCTGCTGCCTTTTGAGCAGCCCATGTCAGCCAGTTCCTTCTGTCCAATATCTTGAAGAGTTTCCAGAGGAGAATGGCGCCCACTTAGGAGTATTGCTGGCCTGGCAGGAGAAGGGGATAGTGACAGCATGGAGCCTGCCACGCAGGCCTGACCTCTTCTCAATACCTCAAGGCAGTGGGGTCAGGAGAGAATCTGAGTGAATGGCGAGGAGTCACGATGGTTTCCTGTAAAGTTCTCGGGTTTTTTCCCCCCGAGAGTTCTGGGGATCTCACCAGGAAGGCTGGAATTCATGGAAGCCTTGGAGTGGGGATCACCCGGGAGTGTTCAAGGTCTGCCTGACAGACGGAATCAGAGCACAGACATGAGAATCAGGGGTACAGAGGAGCATCGTGCTCCCCACATCAGAACTGAGAAACTGGGGAGAAGGGCTAACAGTCAGTCAGAGAGAAGGTGATCCCATCTCTGGACTCCCAGTCCTTTTCCCCACATGTTATTTAGGGCAAAAGTTGGGGGGAACTGGAGGACCCTTGAGTCAAGGTCTGGGAGGACAGAGACTGAGCAAACGGGCTACCAGGAGCCCCACCCAAGGTGGCTGACTCCGTAAGGGCATTCTGACCCTGGAAGGTGGGTCAGATGGAGGAGGAACCAGCCTGGACCTTAGAGAATCTCAGGCATTCGAGGAATTGAGTCTCGGGGCTCTGGACAAGTGTGAATGGCAGGTGTCGGAGGGCTAAGCCCAAACTGAGAGACGGGTGTGCCCAGGAGGGCCTGCTACCGGCGGGGCCCAGGCATGAGGAGCTGGCTCTGCGTTCTCACGCTCCTAGAAAATACTCCACAAACTATCACGTCTTATTTGGCAAAAGCTCATTTTTTCAAAGTTTGAAGACTCGATCAACAGAGAGGAGGAAGAGGATCCTATGGAAGAAAGGAGAGGAGAGGCCGAGGCTGGGCACCGTTACAAGTGGTGGCCTGCAGCTGCCTGCAGCCGGGAGGTCTGCTCCTGGAGACAGCTGTCAGTCTGACCAGGTGCCTGAGGGCCTACTGTCCATCGTAGTGTTCACAGGCCCCAGGCTGTGCCTTTTGAGTCCCAGGAGGAGGACGAGGAGCCCTGGTACCACTGAGGGGGATCCTCCCTGCGCTTGGAGAAGGCCAGTGGGCACTCCGGCTCGGCCTCTAGTCCAATGACAAGACCAGTGGAGACATCTTAACCTACAAGTCCCACCTCACCCCCCACCCCCCACGTGCACTGCTGCCACAGAAATGCACACCCAGAACCACTCTGGTACCTACAGTGCATACATACATATATAATAGAGACAACTATACAGCATGGAGTCCCAGCACAGTGAGAGCCAAGAGGGGCTGCACCGGCTCACATGGAGGACGAGCCGAGGCCTGGCTTGGAGCAGCTGGACCCTCTGAGGTCCTGGGGTGTGGTGTGTCTGAACCGTTTGGAGGTCTGGCCAGTGACACCAGGCCCCACATCCCACCATGGAGCGAGGCTCCCACCGCCGGGCACATTTCTTCCCCTATACAGGAACGAGCCCCAGTGCTGCCTTCAACACAAGGGGAACCCAGGTGACGGCCCCTGAATATCAGGGAGCAGCAGCAGTGCCCACCTGGCCCCCTCGGGCCCGGGGCTCCCGGTGAGCTGGTGGGGAGGGCAGGCCGGGAGCCAACGAGGAAAGTGCAGCTGGCCGTGAGGGCCGAGGACAGGGCGGTCACTAAGGCAGTGCTGCGGGCGAGTGAGTTGAGAGAGAGAAAGGCAGGCGGGGTCCGGATGTGGCCTCCCGGGACCCTGATGACAGGGGCCCGGCATCCGGCCCAGGGTCATGTGGCCACGGCCTCCAAGTAGCTCTGCAGCTTACGCACGGTGGTCTCATCCAGGGAGAAGAGGTCAAAGTCAAAGGTGGTGTTGGTGACATTGAAGTGGCCAGTCTCCTCGATCAGGTTCACGATCTGGAAGGAGGTGGCAAGGTGGCTTCAGGAGATAGGAAGTTGGGCTGGGGTGTCCCCCACCCTCCAGCAGACCCCCAAGGAAGAGAAAGAAGAGGAGGAGGAGGCTCCTTGGGGATGCAGCAAGGGGTTCTAGCAGCCTGCAGGCCTTACAGGCACCCCTGTCCCAGAACTGAGGGCAGGGCGGGCTCCGTCCTAGTACCTGCTGCAGCACGTTGCGCTCTCGCAGGGCCATCAGCCTCCGGTGCAGCTCCACCAGCTCATCCGTGTAGGCCTGGGGGTGGCAGACAGGCACTCAGCAGGAGGCCTCTGCCCTTCCAACTGCCCAGCCTGAGGAAGCCCATCGCAGCTGGGAACCCAGGACGGAGGTGGGTCTGATGCTCCTGGGGCCAGCACCTCGGCACACCTGGGCTGACCCGTTCAGTTGTGGAGCCCCGGGGTTACCCCCACCCCACCCGAGCCCCCCACCTTGTCATAGGTGCCCCTCTTGAGGATCTTCTCAGGCTTGCTGCAGGACTCGGGGCTCCTCCGGCCTGACGCCTGCAGGACAAACCCGGGTCTGTGCTCTCAGCTCTTCCCCATGCCTCTCCCCAGCCCCCCAAAGGCTCTCCCACCTCCCCAGGCCCACCTGCCCCCCTTCCTCTGGCCTCCGTCTCTAAGGGAAGCCCATCCTGGGGAGCAGACACACCTCGGACCTGGGGGTGAGCAAAGCCGCTCTCTGCCGGGGACCTGTGGACAATCCCAGGCCAAGGAACAATCATGGCGGCCCGGCCCTCGGCCCTGCCTCTAGAACATGATGGCAACCTGCCCACCAGTGCCCTCCGGACTCACCTTGCTGTTGGGTGGGGGTGGCTTCTTGGGGGCAGGGGGCTCTCGGCTGGGGAGGCAGGAGTCGGCACTGTTGTCACTGTCGCTGTCGCTGAAGCTCAACCTGAACAAGGAACACGATGCTCTGTCAGGCCTCCACCACCCGCTGCTGCAGGCCCTGTGCCTGACCCTGTGGGCGAAGAGTGTGGCCCCTAAACCTCACTTGGCTCTAGGCAGCCACTACAGACTTAAAGAATGTGCTGATGCCACCTTCAAAGGGCAAAGGACCCAGAGCCACAGGTGTGCAAGCTAAGAGGCATGTCCCATGATGCAGGTGTCCCAGGGCCAGCACACCAGACGGACACCCTGCACTGGAAGGATGGGGCATGGTGCTGGGTTCTCCTCCTGCTACTCCTGCAGCCAGGGACAGCCTGCCTGTGCGCTGAGGGGAACGCAGTTTCCACCTTCGCCTGAGCACTTTGGATGCCAGCCTTCCTCAGTGACACTGAGGCGTTCCAACCTGGGTGGGGCCCTGAACACAATGTGTCTGGCGGCGGTTCAATTCCAAAACTCCCGAGAGGCAGGGCCCTGGCCGAGTCCTCAACCTCCACCTCCATCTCCTCACCCATAAAATGAGGTCCCGGCAGTAGTGCACAGGGGAGGAGTAAACGCACAGCAACAAATGGTCACTACTGCCTTAGGAGGCAAGGGTGTGGCTACTCCAAGTTCGAACGCCCAGGCTAGCTAGAACTGGAAAGCCCTCTCTTTAGAGTCACAATTCTCTCTCACGGTCTCAGTCTAGATAGCACAGTTGGTCCAGACTTTCAGCTTTTTTAGAATTTCTCACAGCACAGTGAGGGGCTGTAGAGGGAGCAAACTCCTCTGCAGCCCCACCCCCAGCTGGGAATGGCCTGCTCCTCTGAGGACCTCCCTGGGGAGAGGCTCCCACTGGGATCCCAGTCCTTCACAGACACTGTGGGCTTGATCCAGCACGGAGGACCCGGACAACTGCTCCTCCACATCTGCAGCACAGGAAGCCCTGCCTGCCCCTTCTCCTACCTAAGACACCTCACTGTGAAAGCAGTGCCAGGAGATGCCAGGCACACACCACAGAGCCTGAGCTTCAGGGGCTCCTGTCTTATTCCCCCCAAGGTCAAGGCTGTCCATTTCCTCAGGTACACTTCTCCCACTGTAAGCAGCAGGGCCTCAGGGCCCCTGCTCTCCTGAGACCCAGACCTCTCTCCCCCCAACTTCCCAGCTGAATCACTCCAGTGGGAAGGCAGGTGGTGACTCTTGATGCCCAAACCTAGGCTTGGCCCCACTGCCCTGCACACCCCGCGAGTCCCCCTCTTCCCAGGTCCACCAGGTGGCAGCTGGAAGCCATGAAGACTGTGGGCCTCCCCAGGGAGCAGAATAGGATGAGATGGGACTTGGCTAGCGCCTCCCAACCAGCTGCAGCGCCAATGCAAGATCTGTGCGGCCCCTTCCCTGAAAATAAGATGTCTGGCTCTCTTGGTATTCAGGAAAGCCCCACCCAGGCCTTCCACGTCTGCCCCTGCAAAAGGACGCCCAGGTGCCTCCACACAGTTGGTCCCTGCACCACGCACCTGGTGTCCACAGGACTCACACTGAATGTTGCCAGCACCAAAGAGGCAGGAGCTGTGGATGTTAATCCTGTCCTGGGACACTGGCAGTCTCCGTGGGCCCCTCCCCAGCTAAGTCGTCACAAAGCCCTCCACAGCCACACTCTCAGGAGGTGGGTTAATCAGCTCTCCTGACACGGACTGCCTGCAATCACCTGTTAGGCGGCCCTGTGCCTGGTGGGTGTAGACTGGGTGACTGGCCTGGCTTACTGAGTTGCTGAGTCCTGGAGCAGGTGTTGAATCTGGGCCCGACGGGGCTGCTGACCCCTGAGTCTGCCCTTTCCTCGGGCCTGAGATCAAGGTTGGCATTTGCTCTGCATAAGAGGCTGAGAATGCATAGCCATCCTCAAAGTGCATGCTCTAAGGGTCTGGGGTGTCCACAGGACATTTCTGAGTTTGTCCTATGCCACACAAGTAGGGAAGAGGGAAAAGATCTCGAGACCTGAGAACAAAGGAACCAGTCCATCCCCTATCCCCACCCCCACCCCCACCACTACCCCCGCCTCAGATCAGGACTGGCCCTAGGGCTGCTGGGTACAGCCTTTCCCCACTTCTCAGATGGTGCCTGGACTTCTCTCTCCCTCAACATCCCAACCCTTCCCGCCAGGCAGCCCACACCTTCTATAACAGGAGGAAGGAAGCCACCTAAGACCCCTCCACTTCAGATACCCAAGGAGAGACTGTGTGACCCCTAGGCAGAGCATTGCCCAGTAGGCTCTGATGCTTCCTTTGCTTGCACCCCAGAAATACTTCTGTCCTAGCCACACCTCCTCAAGGCCCCATAAGCCCAGCAGAGCTGCCAGAATCCCCCACCAACCCCCCTAACCCCCCACCGGCCCGGGCACCTGGAATCTCTCCCTGCATTTGTCTTGCCGGCAGCCTCCTCGCCCGATGAAGAGTCATCCTCGTCAGACTCCTCAGATTGCAGGTCCTCCACCATGGAGCGCAGGGGTCCTGGGGAGGGTGGCAAGGAAGGGAGGAGGGATAAAGAAGGAGGGGTTTAGGGCTCTGTCTGGGTCCTTGCAGGGTCCCCTCCACTTCCAGGGCCACGTGAGCTTCTTGACACCACAATCCCCAAAATGCACCCACACAAACCCACTTAGAAGTCCCTCTGACCATGTGGGGCCTGCCACTCATCTCCAAGGACTGTCCTCAAGGCTACCCTTACCTAAAGGACCTTCTGGCTTCCCCATACCCTACCTTCCTGGCCCTGCTTGCAGGCCTCTGGCCCCTGGCCTGAGACAGAATCACAAGGCCCGTCCATTGCCAAAGCCAAAGGAGCAGCCCTCCTCTGCTCCCAGCACTAAGATCAGAGCCTCTGCCTGGAGCCAGGACCAGCCAGCCTTGGCGGGAGGACAAGGCAGCCAGAGTCTGAGGCCACAGGATGCCCCACAAGACTGTGCCCCTACACAGGCCTGCCCAGTGCCTCAGCAACCCCCTCTGCTGTTCCCAGCCCACTGTCCTCCCCTTTCTCCAGAGGCACTCGGTTCCAGTCCCCTACAGAGGAATCTTTGGTTTATATTCCTGTTACCAAGGCAACAGTGGGACACAAAGCCCTTAATTACCTTGGTCACATGATCCCACTTCAGCAGGTTCCCCGCCTTCTCCAACGATAACCCTTGGAGAATGTGCACTTCCAGCACCCCATCCCCCAGACCCCCTCAGCAACTGCACATCTACATTCCAGGTCAGAAATATCCCCCTCTCTCCCAATACACTTTCCTCCTCAGCTTTCTGCAACCCAAGAAAAAGGATTCCAGGCTATGTGGGGAGGAGACCATCGGCCCAATCCACGAGAAGAAGTGCTTCTGGTTTGCGGGCGAGTAGCAGGGTTCTCAGAGCTGGTGGATTCCATGCCCTCCTCACACACCTATGTCCTGCAGGCTGGGAGTGGCCAGGCACCTGAGGAAGGCCCTCCCTGATCTGAACAGCCAAGTGGGCTTTATGCTCTCTCCCCCCACAACAGCCTCCCTATTCCCAGGGGTCCTGCAGGGAAAAGGCAGAAATGCAGACTGAGTGCCAGCCAGACCCACTGTAGGAGCAGAGCATTCCTGCCCTCATCCAGGAGCTGTCCTATAATGGGACAGGGTGCGAGGGCTAGCAAAGGAGCTGATGCCGACCTCCCTCTGGGAGGAGCTGGTGAGGAGCGTGTCTGGCTATGGATAGGGCCCAAATCAGAAGGGGGCCCATAAGCACCTCATCGCACATCTCCAAGCCCTCATCATACAGTGTCGTGAGGCCTCGGGAAGGTCACAGAAGGAGTAATATTTCCTACACCTGGCTGGCAGTCAAGTGAACTGTTTCAGCTTTTCTTTTTAATATACTCCCTGAGGTTCTACAACTTATAAATGTGGATATCTGGGAGCCTAGTCTGGGTAAGCAGTAGTACTAGAATACTGAAGAAATGCCAGAGTGTTCTGCTCAGACATGCGGCTCTTGCCATGCCTCCATCCCTCATCCCAGTCTCCCCCATCATCTCCACCTCCCCCCTCACTCTAGGCCTCCTCATCAACTCCTTCCCTTGGGGTAAGGTACCAATGGGTTTTTCTGGCAGTGGCAGCAGCTGAAGCTCAGGCATGGAGTGAGTCCCCCTGTGATAGAATAACACACCTAGAACCCCACCAGCCAGGTGGAGTCAGAGCTGCTCGCACAGCGGTAAGCCACAGAAACATCCTCTTTCTTTTGTCATCACCCACCTTGACTGTGGTTCTGAGATGGCTCAAAATCCGAATCTGAACTGGAGTCAGAGCTGGAGCTGGAGTTGGATGGGCTCGACTGGGCGGACTTCATCCCAAAACGGGGGTCAGTGGGGAAAGAAAAGAATAATCTTTCAGTCCAAGGAAAAGCAGTGGACAAGAAATGCGCCCTGGCAGCAGTGACACCCAGCTGAGTCTTCCCCCAGATACACACTCAAAGGGTGACAAAGGTGCCAGGATCAAGGCACGCAGGACGACCCCTGCACACACTCCTGAGAACATGGCTTCCTGGGGTCCGTAGGCATCCAGCCCCAGGTTTGCATTTCAAATGCAATGGCCCATCTTTTCTCACTGAGGATCTTTAAACTTGTAGTAGTTTCTGGAGAAACTTTCATCAAGTCACTGGTTTCCCCATGCACCTCAGCAGGAGGACAGGGAACCATGCTGTCCATGAAAAGGGGGTGGGGGGCACATCTGTTTGTGGGCCCTGCCTTCCTCCTATGAGATCAAGAGCTGGCGATGGGCGCTGCGGTGCCACAGGGAACAGAGGAAAGATCTGGAACAGGAAAAGTGAGTGCAGAAACCAAGCTTCTCATTCTGCCCCTTGTGTCCCAAGACTGAGTAATGACAAAAAGCTATCTCTGTCCCCCTGCCATGTGCTGCCATCACCCACCAGGTGCCCTGAGGTAATGATGAATGTGCCAGGTGACAAGCAGTTGAGGACAGGGTGGACTCAATCAGGTCACACCCCCCTCTTCTTCCTGCAACCTTCCACCCTGACTCAGCCATCAGGGGGCAGTAAAAAAACAAAACAAGGCCACCAGGCCCGAGGATACGTGGGGTAAGATGACTGGGGGTTGCACCTTCCTGGGTGTAAAGGAACTGGTCACTTCAGACCCCTGAAGGGAAGAGGCCTCTGGCCTTGCTGTATGGAGCACTAAGCTAGAACAGGGGCCTAGGTTTCTGCCAATAGGCAGTTCTGAAGGTGCACATAACAGAGCAAGCCATAGGTCTATGGCACAGACTCTGAAGGGCAGAAGGGCAAAGTTCACGGCTCCAAGAGTCTAGCCTGGCCCAGAGCACCCCACGTATGTGGGAGACTGCCTCACCCCAGCAAGCCTGTCCTCGGGCTGGGGGTTGTCTAGCCCTCTTGCTTTGGGGAGGACCATCTGGAGGAATGGAATACCTTGAGTGCTGGGACCAGCCACCTCTGGGCACCTCCCCTTTTCAAGAGAAGGGACAGGAAACAGGCAGACAAACCTAACAGTGTTTGCTTAGTCCTGGCATGTGCCATGTGAGAGGAGGCCCTAGGAAAGGAGTCCCGGACCCCCAAGGGATCAGGAAAGTCCCTCCTGATGGTCTGGGGGTTGAGGGCAGCTCCCAGGCTATAGAGGAGACCTAGGAAGGCACAAGTCTTTGCTCACTCAATAGACCCAGAGAGTAATCAGGCCACCTAGGGACAAAACAGTCACCTGAAGACTTAAGGGGCCTCTTCTTTATACTTTACCTCAGCGCCTGCTCCATGCATCTGCTGACTACCACCCCCTCCACTAACATTCCTTCACATGGAGAATCCTAGATTACCATCAACCACTGCCCACTGTGACAGACCATGTGACAACCCCAAACCTCAGCAATGGGCCTGGGGACAAGTGGTCCTCTAGCATTCAGACCCCTGAGTTCTTATTCTGGTTCAAGGGTCCTGGTTCTGACCCTGGCTTTGTCACCAACTGGCCAAGGCTGCCCTGGCTTTAAAGCCTCAGTTCCCCCATCTGTAAAAGCTGCCTCGCAGCCGAGTCAAAGTGGCTCAGTGAGTAAGCATGAACCTATGAACCAGGAGGTCATGGTTTGATTCCTGGTCAGGGCACATGACTGGGTTGTGTGTTCGATCCCTATTGTGGGGCATGCAGGAGGCAGCTGATTAATGATTTTTCTCATCAGTGATGTTTCTATCTCTCCCTCTCCCTTCCCCTCTGAAATCATTAAAAAAAATAATAATTTTTTTTTTTTTTTCCCTTTAAAAGCTGCCTTGCGGTCCCAGCTAAGTATTTGTGCCAGCTGGCATGGAGGCCAATGACCATTGCACCTCTGCCATCCAGGGCAGAGAATTTGGACAGACCCCTTGGGCTGAGGGCATGAGCAACAGGGTGCGTAAGGTTGACAAAAAAAGCTGGGCCAGGTAAGGAGTTGGACCAAGTGTGTAGGTTCAGGGCAGCAGGCTGGGAAAGCAGGTGCCATGACAGGTGGCTCCAGGACCTGTGTGGGTAGAGGGTGGAGAGCAAGTCAGCCAACCTCAGATTCTTGCCCCTTTTCCTTCCACACAAATCCAAGGGACAGAAATTATTTCGGCCCAAAGTGCCTGGAGGTGTGTGCTTGAAAGTCCACAAAGGGTCATGAGCACTGCTGGTGAGTGTCGCTGCTCAGCCACATGTCATGTCCAGCAGGAGACAGAGGGGCTGGTGGGCTCCCAGCACTCCTGGCCCCTTGAAAGGACCCTGCGGGCCAATGAGACCACAGAGAAGCAGCTGGAAGAGCTGGGGGCATGGCCCAGAGACTCAGGCAAGGAGCACCTGGATCCCCTCTCGACTAAGCAGGAGGAGGCAACTCAGGTTCCCTGCAATGCCAGAGCTCTCCAGTGGTGGTGCCCCACCTGCCTCCAGAGTGGGTAGCCTGAGATGGTGGAGAGAGGCTGGGAGGCCTGGCTATGGAAGGCTGTCTCGTTCCTCCACCTTAGATATCTGTGTCTCGCCAAGATCCTAGGGTTGGGAAATATCACTGAGTCACTGTCCCACAGCCCTAGGGAGCCATGGGCACACTGTTGGTGCCCTGCATGGACCTTGAGTGGCTAAGGCTTGTCGTTCAGAAGTCTCTCAGGGCTGGGATACACTGTTCCAGCCAGGAGAAACCCCCCAGGCTTCCACAAAACTACAGCCTCGGGTCTGAAGTATCCATGGCCATAGATACCAAACATTCAGCCCACTCTCAGCAGTAGTGCTGGGGGAGGGGAGACAAAGGGGGATGGGGGTAGAGAAGGTTTCCCACACAGTGTCCCAATGATCACAGCCAGACATCAGCATGGACATGTGGGACATCAGGGGCGGCCTCCGTCTCTTACCCAATGAAAATACACCAGTCTTGGGTACAAAAAGGTCTCACCTGGAAGCATCTAGGATGGAAAAGAGGGAAAGGCACCTGCCTAGAGCTCCAGATGCTGAGCAGACAGATGACAGATGATAGACCAGGGTGCTGCTGAGCACCCAAAGAACGTGTAGCAGCTCAGCAGGATTCTGAAATGGCCCTGAATGGCCAGGAGGCTTCTAAATAAGAGATGTTCCAAGTCCTGCCACCTTAGGTTCACTGTCTCCTGGCTGTGAGGAGCGCCAGGTGTGTAGAATGATCTGCCCCATGTATGTCCCTAAGCCAGTGGGTGCAGTTAAGCATGAACCAAATTGTCACCCCCAATGCTGTTGCCTCCCATGGAGTACCCCTGGAAGCCACATGCTCATGACATGGTGTTGCTGACACAAAACAGCAATTCTAGCTTCATCTCCGGAGCCACTTTCAAAGCCCCAGTGGGACCCCAGGAGCAATGCTGCAGCAGACTTCAGCCTCTGGGAGTGACCGAGATCTGCAAACAGCACAGGTCACCGAGCATGGGGGCGGTTCCTCAGATAAGGGGGGTCACTCCTCATTTATCCACCCATTCATCCATTCAACCCTCACCCAGACACCTGTTCTCTGACCACCAGATGCCAAACAGTCTTAGAGATGAAATCACCACCCAAGGCCCCAGTAAGGTCTGGCCACACAGTCAGCAGCTGGCTATGTGCTCCTCTGGGATTCAAGGGGTCTCTCACAGCGATCTTCAGAGAGCCACTTGGAAACACTGCTGCTGGAGCCCAGAGCCTCTCACAGTGAGAGGGGTGCTGGCCCATGCTTAGAAAACAAATCTTGCTGATTCAAGATCCCTGTGTCTATGCTGCTTGAGCAGAAGCGGACGGGTGGAAGGGGTGGTGGGCCCTCAGGCTCCACTGGCCATCTGGGAATGGAGCCAACATTAAACTTCTAGGCCAACCATGTGGTGGCTGGGGAAGGGACAACAGTAAGACACAATCACCCACCCTGATCTCCAAGTGGCCACCAAGACCCTGGGCCATACAAGGGGCTCCCAAGGTAAAGAGCTCAGAACCCAGGTACCAGACCATCATGTTCTACCAGAGCCATCCTTCCTAAGCACCATTTCCACAGAGTCCTCACAGTCAGGCTTTATCATCCTTGACAGAAGGGGAAACTGAGGCATAGCGAGGTGATCAGGTATGCCCAAAGCTACAAGGAGCAAATGGGAGCTCTGGGCCTGAGATCCCAATCTCCTCGTCTGACGTTTAAACTAACAAGAATTTCGATGGCAAAGAGCCAGAAAAGCTGATAAGGACAGGGGATTCAAAGAGCCAGAGAAGAAGATAGGTGTTGATGGGAAAAGGGGGCTTCTCACCTCTGTCTTGAAGGAAGCCTCGTCCTCCGAGTTGGACTCCTCCACCTCTGGGGGCTTTTTGATCTCCCGGGGCTCATTCTCAGCCTTGATCTTCTCCACTTTGGTGCTACCCTTGTCCTTGGCCGACTTTTTGTCTGAGAAGGAGGAAGATGAGGTGCGGGGCGAAGTGCTAGGGGCGCTCCTGGACCCCTTGGAGCTGCTCTTCTTCTGCTTTTTGGCACTGGGCTTGGGTGAGTCAGTGGTAGCTGGCCGCTTGCTGGAAGACTTGGACGGTGGTGGTGGTGGGGGACCACCCTTGGGGGACAGGCTCTCCAGTTTGGTCTCCTTCAGGGCCATCTTGGGCTCCTTGAATGCAGCCTTGGGTGGCGGGGCCTTCTCCTCCTTGGGTGGCCGGCCCTCAACCAGCTTCCGTGAGGCGTCCTTGGCACTCCGGGACTGCTCACGCTCTGGCTCCTTGGAGGGGCCTTTGCTCTCCGAGTCTTTGCGGGGCCGCTCCCGGTGCTCCTTGGCTGTCTTATGGGCCTTGCAGGCCTTGCCGCCCTCCCTGCTGGCATCCTGAAACATCAGGCGGGAATGGAGAAAGACACAGTCAAACAGCATCTCAGGTCGCCCTGCTCCACTTTCCCTACCACCCTTACAAAGTATAATCTCCCTGGATTCAGACTCAGCAAGAGAAAATCTTCCAAACAGCAAAAAAGTAAGGCAGCAGGTGAGAATTTTAAATGGAGCTGTCCCTTTAAACTACTAGGAAGTGTCAGCAGGTCCCAGGCGACTACAGGCTAAGACTCCCCTCTTAATTGAACTGACTTTCCCTGAGGGATTCAAGAACAGCACAGTGAGTCAGGCAGAGAAAGACAAGATACACAGACCCCCTCCAGCTCAGACACCTTGCAGCCCCCACTGGGGGCACTAGCAGACAGGCCCCTTTCTGTCCCCACCACTAAGCCTGTATGCCTCCTGCCTGGTCACCCCAAACCAGCATGACTTGCCAGGCAGAATGGTTCTTTGATCCACAGTCAGCACTCATTGAGTGTCTGCTGGATTCTGGGTGTTGTGCAGGACCAACAACTCCTGACTTAGAATTGAAGCCACCTGGACAGCTTTTCTATAACGTGTACATTTCCAGGGAAATTCAGAGGGTTCAAGGTGGACCAGCCAGGTCATGGAACTCTGGCTAGGAACAGAGGCAGAAAGCAGCCCTGCTCCAGGCTGTTGGGAAAGCTGGGCCAGGGGACACCAACCCTGTGCGCTTCCTTGTTCACTTCCTCTGAACTAGGGTAAGACCACCTACCTCACCACGATGGTGCAGGGGCCTGGCTGACAGAAAGCACTCAATCATGGGGGCTGCAGCCACCCCACACACAACTTCTACCCTTTGGTAGAAGTCTTGTCTGACACCTTGTTTGCTTCCTCCCTGTCAAACCCCTTCAACATCCTGCACGTCCAGGGTTGCTGGACAGGTGCCCACCTGCCAAGGGCTCTGCCCCCAACGCAGTCAGGCAGGTGCATGGCTGGGCTCAGCAGCTCTCCAGACCAAAGCTCACCAGGAAACCAACAGCAACCAGACCCCAGGTGGCATGCACCACCTGAGGCAGTCATACTTTACCAGCTCACTGTATGTGCCAAGAGGATGGGTGAGCCAGCCAAATGCCCAGAAGCAGGGCCTCTACTTCTTGCTCCCTGACACCACCTGACAGACTCTAACAATAAAGAGCTACAAGGACAGGCGGCACAGCCTTGACCACCTCAGATCTACTTGTTCACTGTCTTCTTGAAAATCCATAACCCACATCAGCGTCAAAGGCTCAGGGACAGCCTTGTGTGGAACATAGGCTCCTGCTGCCTCCCTGGAGAAACATCAGGCCCTGTGCCCTGGACCTGGCTCTTCTATCTCCAGGGCAGTGGGAAGAGGTACTCATAACCCAAGCCCCAGCTGACCATCTAAAGGGGCATCTCCCTTGGGGCTGGTTGTGGAATGGCGTCAGTCCCTGGGGACTCCCCTCTCCAACAACCTCTCCCCTGAAGTGGGAGGCAAGAAGCAGACTTCAATGTGATTCCAGCCTCTTCTCGAAATATCTATACACACCCCAGGCTGTAGGAGTTGGCTCCAGCCCAAAGAGGTGGGGCAAAAGCACACCCAATAAATGTATTTGTCAAAGGCCTCAGCACAGTTCCCACCATATCCCCCAGACCTGGGGTCGGACAAGCCTCCATTGCTGCCCAGGGTCTGCCCAACAAGTAGGGCCTTCTGGGCAGTGGCTCTTTACCTGGAGGTCTGTATAGGTGCTGGAGAGCAGGGTCCCTGAAACCGCACACTGAGTTCTGAGAGTAATGTGATCATTCACAGTCATGATCTCAAAGCCACCAGTGAAGCAAATATAGCTAAGAACCAAGTTTTGGAGAAAGGTCATCCAGGCCAACTGGCTGATGTCAGACAGGGAGAAGCTACAGGTATGAAAGTCCAGGGGTGCTATGAGGTGGGGACTAAAAGGACTACCATCCTCGAAATATGAGTCTTTAGGAGCCCCATCCCTCTCCCAGGGGGCTCCAATTCCTGCCTTCCATGCTACTCTCTGAGGAGACATGAGGTGGGGACACACCACCAGTGACCAATCCACCTAGGACTCCAAAAGCCAGACTCTCCAGCAGCCTCCAAGATGGAGACCCTGACAAGCAAGGCTCTGCATGATCAAGCCCTTTGCTCCCAGTCCCCTCTGCCTGGAGCATGTGACCTGGCAATCACTCTTTGGGTCCAGGCAGCAGAGAACCAATCTGGGGGTACAGCCAGTACCCAAAGGGAGGTCCTCATCTGGAGGAAGAGGTTAGTGCACAGGTTATACCCTCCTAGAAGAGCAGGTGAGGCTAACGGCTCAGAAGGGAGTACAACAGGTGAGGAGGCTTCCAGCAGAGAAGAATCTGCCTTGTGCTGCCTGAGAAACCAACAAAAGAGCCTCCTGAAATACACCTCCCTTGTGGCTGAAGAAAGTCTCTGGGACACGGAGGGGTCCAGTGAGAAAGGACATGAGTAACTCCAACCGATACAATTCCACTGGTCTCCAGAGTGTCCTTACTACCTGCAGGGCATCTCTTCATGAGGTTTTGGTTGACTTACAAACGACACATACAGAAGAAATGACAATTTCTATCCTTCCTAGGTTGCATGGACTTCTAGACAAATGAGTGGCTGAGAGAGAAACTGCCAAGATCTCTAGCAAGAAGTTCTCTTCCATTTGATGTCCATAAGGCTCAGGAGAGATGGGCCAGAAGGTTGTATGGGGACAATTCTTAGACCTGCACTCCATACTTAAGGGCTTAAATCGGATGAGTCTGAGGATTTCAGAGACTCACTGGCCTGGGGAAAGTGCCAGAAAGACCCTGCCTGGGTAATGTCGCTCTCCTCCAGCACTGCTGATGAATAAGGCTGAAATTTGGCTGAGAGCTCAAGCTGTCCCATGTGGGGTGCCCCAGGCACACAACAGAGGAGTGAAACAAGAAAAATGCCAAGTTGAGAAGTGTATAAACGTGTGGGGTCGGTGGCACAAAGACAAGCAGCTGCCCTGAGAGCCAGATGAAACCTGCCTCCGGGACATGAAGCTGTGTAGGTGGCTGTGGGGGAACAGGACAAACACTCAGTTTCTGTGTACATTGTGACACCACCAGGAGGGCTCTGGTAGCCACTCTGGGATGATTCAGAGAGTGGTCTCTGGAGGACAGTGTGCCACTCACTGACTGGGCTAAGAGAAGATGATAAAATGTTTCTTCTTAGGGAAAATCAGCTCACTCACCCACATGGTTCTATCTGGCTCTTCCCCCAAATAAGCTTTCTCTGTGGAGGTTTGCCCAAGAAAGAAGCCAAACCTGGAACGGGCCAGGAGAAAGCCTCAGCCCTGATGGACAAAGTGTCCTGGCTGCACTCAGGAGACCTGAGAAGGTAGACAGTGGTAGCTGCAGTGGACACTCTGTCCATGGCTCCCAACCATGTGAGGCTACCTTGGGGTTCTGTCGTCAGTGATCCTAAGCCTACTGACTCTGAGGGAGGGGGGAGGACAGGGCAGGCTCTCTGGCCTCAAGAGGAACGGGGTGAAGAGCTGTGATTACCAGTCTGTTCTATGCACCCCAGGGGGGGCCGACCCTTCTGACTAAGTGGCAGAGAGCAGCCACAGGGAGCAGAGAGAGCTCCAAGAGAAAGATGCCAAGGGACCGAGTCCAGCTCTGCAGAGGGAGCACCCTGAGCCCAGGACCCTCTGCTGGGCCCCAGTGCTCCCATGTGACTGGGCCTTCCACCTCACTAACCTTGGAGCCGTGGGACGGTTTGGTCTTCTTGGGGTCAGAGAAGGCAGAGAGTGGAATTGTGGGTAACATGGGGTAGTCAGGACTGGGCCTGGACACCGTTTCTGCTCCTTCGGGCATTACCATCACCTAGTGATAAAGAAGAGACAGATGTTATCAATGAGCAAGGAGGCAGGCTGGAAATCCGATGGGCAAGAGAAAGTTGGTTTGCGGGAGTACAGCTAGAGGTGTCCAAGCCTCCTTCTGGGGGAGGGGGCCAGGAAGAGCCTGGGCGTCAGTTTCCCAAAAGAGTCCACGGCATTTCCTCTGTGAAGGTCTGGGTGCTGAGTGCTCAGAGCGAAGCAGGCTCATGGTGAAAAGCAAAGAGAAGCAGGGTCCAAGGATGGCTGGGTCCAGGTGCAGTAGGCACAGTCTTGGGTAGGAGGGCACTCTGCTAAGAAGACTGGCAGTTTGTGCGAGAAGCACAAGGTGGCAGCTGTGGCCGAAGCGGCCTGCATGCTGCAGGTAAGAAAGACCAGAAGCATGAAGGTGAGAAGCCAGGCAGACACCCACTCTGGGAAGGCATGTGGCGGAGAAAGCAATTTCTGTTGGATGTGCGTGTCATGACTTCACCGGGTCCCACATCTCCTGGGGGAGCCTCACTCCTCCACTCTCAGGTGAATAAAGTTGACTAAAGCAGGGAGCGAGTAGCAAAGCCAAGGCAAGAGGTAAGTGCAAGGGGGGCAGGGCCCAGTTCTCTGCAAAAGCCACCTTGCTGGAGCCTGCAGCAGAGGGACATGAGCTCTGCCTTTGTTAACTACTAGGAGGAGGAAGGATCTGGGCTCCTGCCAAGAGGTGCTCCTGGTAACACCTGCTCGGGTCCAGTGAGGCTCCGATGGCGCCTGCTGAGGAAGAGAAAACCCGAGGGCAAGTTCTCAAAATATAGACACTGGAAGCTCACACTACCACTCAGAAGGAGCCTTCCAGCTGACAACAAAACAGAACAAAAGAATAAAGTTCATGTAAAAAAGAAAGCAAGCATTCAGCTTTAATAACCTTGAGCACCTGGGATTCATGACAAGCTCAACCTTTCATCTGAGGAGGCGGATGTAATGCCCAGTCAGGTCACGGGGACACCAGGTTGAAAGGATGGCAGTGGAGCATTTCATGCCACTCCAGCCTCCACCCCTGACTCTGAGGCAGTGAGGCCCCAGGCCGAGTTGCTCACCAGAGACGTCTCACTATAACACAGAGCCCAGAACCTGCCTGACCCAGGCCAGCATGGCTAAGGATCACCAGGTCTCGGGAAATAACCATACTCTAAGGCCAGCAAGGACAATGCACAAGGTTAGAGAAGCAACTGACAGCCTAAACCGGGAGAACAGACAGGTTCCCTCAGAAGTCTGAGTCCATTCCCTTACAGACCATGCCTTTTCCCTTTGTTTTCATTTCTCTCTTCACAGGAACATCCTATTCTGATGCTATGCCAAGACAATGTAGTGAAGGCCTTGCATCTTTCTCTCTTTAACAATCTTTTTTTTGGGGGGGAAAAAAGTTAAGTGAATAAATGAATCTACTTCCATCTGCAGGACAGGGCTTCATGAGAGTACACCTCACTCATTGGAAATACAGGCACTCACCGCTGATGGAGCAAAGGATGAGATTCGATGCTGAGGTGACAAGCAGGGCTGGCCTCTGACCGTCTAGAAAAGTGGCCAAGCCATTTTGGTCACCGCCAAGGAAGTATCTGAACCTCATATGAGGAATTACAGAACTCATGTGCCCCTCAGTGAGGGGCAATACAGAAAGCAGATTTCACCAACTTACAGATCGTATGGTCCTTCAGTTCTTCTAGCACGAATGTCAACACAGATGAGCCTGTGGTCATTTGCCACCAGATGGTAAATACCAGCCCCACTGGGAACACTCAGAGCTCCAGACTGGCTAACACAAGGGCCACAACTCAGGTCTCAGGAGCAACTGTCCCATAAAGGTCCCAGGGTGCTCCTAAGACCCAAGAGCACTGTTCGGCTTTCAAACCAAAGCAAGCCCCCAAGGGCAACAAAAAAGGTTCCTAACCAGACAACCAGTCCTGTGGGCAGCCCTCACCAAAGGTGAAAAGTGCCCCCAGAGACCACCACACCACCACCCAAAGGCCTTCCTTTCCCTTCCTCTCTCCTGGGCTGGCCCTTCCCAAACTGCAAGGCAGACCTGCCATCCCAACCTCTCTCCCTCAACGCCTCATGCCTCCTCCCCCCGCCCCTCCCATTTTATAGGGTTAGGTGATGCATAGTAAGCCTACATCTCTTCAGAGCAAAGAAAACCTGATGCAGGGGGGATGGTCCCTTGGTCTTGGGGCTCTAAGAGGCCCATGGAATGCTGACTGAGTGTCTGTCTCCCTGAGAGGTGACTCTAGAACCTTTGGGTAACACCTGGGGGAAATATTTTGGAAATAAGGTAGAGAGGCAGAACTGAAGAGAATGCTGAACCTGGAAACTCCACACCACTTCCTTGGTTCTTTTAGAACTCCCAGGCAAACTTCCGGAGAAATGTCTGTGTCAACAGATTCCAATGCCTCCCTGTTCTGTTACTAAATTCCATTAGCAATCACATGCTAGGTCCAAATCCCAGACTAATCTTTTGTTAGGGACATGGCAGAAGTTACTCAAATTTTCTTTTTTTAATAAAAGACAACAACTAAATTAAATGAAGAGAAAAGGACTTCTCCCTAGATCCAAATAAACTCAGCCCACACTCCTTATATTCACGGGGGAGGTGGGCCTGCCACACACACATACACATTCTCTCATGACTTGGACCTGAATCCTTCACCGAAGGCACCGCTGGCAGCAAGGCAAACGTTCACTAACAGGCGGCTTTAGGATATCCTATGTCCTCAGCCTGCCACCTCCCTCAGCACACATAGTCCAGCCTGCAGCCAAGCGTCTTGCCTCCTCCACAGCCAATCATCCATCAGTACAAAGCACCCCAACCCCATTCTCCAAGAGCTTACACATGCTCCTGGCACTCTGCCATCATGCCAAGATGCTGGCCACACAACTCACTAGAGATATAGGTTCAGAGAGCTGACACCTTCATCTGGCCTCACAAGGACAGAACTGTCAGGTGGCATACATCATCAAGGACCCTGCAGAGAGCCACAGCTATTTCCCTAGATGATGGGGCTCCAGCATGGCCTTGCCAATCTGGTTAAAAGTTGGTTCCAGTGCCTCACCACACTGACAGGCTGGTCTCATGCCCATTCCTTCCCCCACCCCCAATTTTATGGAAGAAGATGCTAATTAATCACAGCCAACCAGGAAGCTACAGGGATAACTAGCAACTAGTCATTCCCAGCTGACAACATCCCAGCGCTGACTCAGGATACCTGGGTCCTATCCAGTGCTGCCAGGTGCTACCTGTGCAACCTGCCTCTCTGAGTATCAGGTGCCCAGCCATAGGCTGAAGAGACATGCCTGGGAGATCCCAAGGCACCCCCAGCACCACAGTTCCCAGTTCAGGAAGCAGAGATGGATCCATGACAGAAAAGATACATCCGTTTGAGCAGGGGCAGGGCCCACCTGCTCCGGCACACTCACCCCGCCAGCCATCAGGAGCTTGTACCGGAACTCAACAGTGGGGTTGTTGAAGGTGAGCTTCTCACAGCGCAGGTGGTTTACAGGCGGGTTGCCCTCCAGGTTCAGGAATAGGTCATAGGTGAAGCAAACCTTCCTTGGCTCCTCCTTAAATAAAGAAAACAAGGAAGTCTGTTTCAGACAGTGGACGGGAGACAGCTACAGGAAAGAGGTGAACACCTGCTCGCCAGTGCCAGCCCCTGTCTTTCTTTTTTCTTTGCTTGGCCTCCACATCTCTCTGTGTGCCTAATTTTCATCTACCCAGTTACCCAAATGAACTAACTTATCTTTGCAGAGGACCCAGCAAAGCAGGCTCCACAACAGAAGCAGAGATCATTAAGAATGATGTTTTCGGAGGGTTATTGGAAATATTCTTGCTGATGGCTTGTACAACCCCTACGCACACACACTAGCCCTTGAGCCCTCTCAGTACTGGCCAACAAATGGAGAAACCAAGGCTCAAAGACATACAGCTGCTAAGTGACAGTGCTGAGACCTGATCGCAGGCTCTGAGGTCCATGATCCTACCACCCCACTCCTTTCCTAGAAGGAAATTTTTTCCAAAGATAAATAAATTGCCAATAAACACTTAAAAAGCTGTTCAGTGTCAATAATCATTAGGACCCAGCAAATCAAAATCAGACCACTAGGATGGCAATTGTTAAAAATAACCATAAAATAAATGTTGGTGAGAAAAAACTGGATCCCTGTGCATTGCTTGTGATGATGAAAAATGGTGCCATCACTTTGGAAAACTATCTGGGAAAATGTTAAAATAGAATACATATGACCCATATATCTCTCCTAGATATACTAGTATAGCCCTGATAAATGAAAACAAACATCCACACAAAAACTTGATATCTATGCCCATAGCAGCATGAGTCACAGCAGCCCAAACTGGAAACAACCTAGTGTCCACCCACTGATGGACGAATGGATAAACACAAAGTGGTCCATCCAGACAGTAAAATATTACTCAGCCATAAAAAGAGTAAAGCTCTGACACTTGCTACAATGTGGGTAAACCATGAAAACATGATGCTCAGTGAGAGAATCCAGACACTCAAGACCACAGAGATTCCATTTATATGAAACTAGAGACCCAGTGCGCGCCCAGCCCTGCCCTGTGCAAGCCACGGGCCCCGCCCTGTGCGAGCCACGGGCCCCGCCTCTGCTGTGCCAGCCCCACATGAACCCCAGTCCACGAGAGGTGCTCCATGCACCTCCTGGAGACCATCCATAGGCTGAAGAGACATGCCTGGGAGATCCCAAGGCACCCCCAGCACCAAAGTTTCCATTACGGCGTCAGGACCACAGGCTTTTTCTGATATAGACTAGGGGCCCGGTGCACAAAATTCATGCACTGGAAGGGGGTCTATCAGCTCTGCCTGCCCCCTCTCACATACTGGGAGTCCTCAGGGGATGTCCGACTGATGACTTAGGTCCACTCCCAATGGCCTCCCTTTGTGGGAGATGTCCGAGCTGATCAGGGGAAGGCACAAGCCCCATCACCCCACTGCTGCAGCCACTGCCAGTCACCACAGCTGCCTGTGTCTGTTCAATGTGCCCACATACTCATTTACCCTACAAAAACTTAATGGGTACCTGCCATGTGTTCACAGCAGTGATACTGACATGACACAGACTACAAACTATGTAACATCACATTGTAGAGCAGTTACAGTGGCCAGGTACTTTTCCAAGCACTCATTTTGTATGAATGTTTTACAGCCCAAACAGATGCTCTTACTGTCCCCATTTCACAGATGAAGAAGTTGAAACAGAGGCTGTAATCTGCCTGGTGCCACGCGGCTGGTCAGTGTGGAGCCAAGATTCACTATGGGCAGGCGTATTTTCTGGAATCCCTCCGGAGGATTTCCTGCCCACACAAAACAAACAGGTCAAAGCAACAGCTCAAAACAAGAGACCAGGAAGAGTTCTGTATGACTTCCCAGAAATGGATGGTGCAGGCCAAAGCTGGGGGCAGCATCAGGGCCAGGGAGAGCCCTCCCTGAGGGACTAGCATGTGCCTGCAGCTGAGGTGTGGCTCAAAGCACCCTGAGAAAGACTGACCAGAGCTCCCTCTGGACAAGCCGGAGAAGCCTGAGAACTTCCAGGAGGGCGGCCCCTGGGAAACCATCCTCCAGAGAAAAGTCGAGACACAGCCAGCACCACAGCACCCGGTGAGGCAGCAGAATACTCAGTGAGGTGTGGCCACATTTAAGGTGGTTTTATTTGTTTGTTGTTGTTTTTTAAAGAGAGAGAGAAAAACATCAATAAGTTGCCTTCTGCAAGACCTCTACCAAGGGTCAAGCTGGCAACCCAGGCATGTGCCCTGACTGGAATCAAACTGTCAACCCAATGGTGCATGGGATGACGCCCAACCAGCTGAGCCACACCAGCCAGAGCAACAGGATGGATCTTAATCCAATATACTGGTGTCCTTATAAAAGGGGGAAATTTGGACACAGGCTCACACAGAGGAAGAACACCGTGTGAAAATAAAGGCAGAAACCAGGGTGACACTTCTATAAGCTAAGAAACTCCAAAGATTGCCAGCAAGTCACCAGAGGGGTCGGCACTCCCAGAGTAACATCCTTAGTCCAGCCAGACCCCTACACATGGCCCACTTTAAGCAAAGGCAGCTGAGGCCTGCCTCAACTGCTTTCAGACCAGGCTGTGAGCAGCCACTCACTCCCCAGGCCAGCATCTCCCTGACCTCAGCAAACTAAGATGCTAAACTGGTGCTTGCTACTAAAGCCAATGTGTATGCACCTGTCTTCAGTGTGTGGGGAGTCCAGAACATGTGAGTTCACATGGGCCAGGCAAGCTCTGGCATGGGGGCATATCAAGGCAAACGGGGCTAGCTGGGAGCTCCCAATGCTGCCCTCTCCACCACCTCAGAACCCCCCTCTATTCCCTGAGGCTGTCTCCAGGGCCCTGCCCCTTGTGCACCTAGCAGGGCTAACCCTGGAGGATCCCTGGGTGAAAATGGAAGAGTAACCTCAGACTGCTGGCAATCCAGAAGCTTGGCTCCTCAGAATCCCTGGGGCTGTCTTCTCACCATCTTAACCCTGCCCACACTTGTACCTGGGGCCTGTTTGATTTTCCTTTATGAGAGGTCCTGGGTTCATGTATGCTGGGCTTTAAAAAAAGTCAAATCTGAATCTGATCACAGCCCTGGGATAATCATCAGTTTACTGGGCTTCTGCCAGCAACATCCCCATAGGACCAATACTACAGATTTTTATTTTTATTTAATTTATTTTTTTTTTGTTAATCTTCACACAAGAATTTTTCCCAGTGGTTTCTTTAGAGGAAGTGGGAGGGAAGGAACGAGGAGAGAGAGAAAAACATTGACCTGAGAGAGTCACATCAATTGGCTGCCTCCGGCACACACCTTGACCAGGGCCAGGGATCGAACCTGCAACCAGGTTCGTGCCCTTGACTGGGAATCGAATCCACAACCCTTCCACATGTGGGTTGACGCTTTAATCACTAAGCACACCAGCCAGGGTGATTTGGCTTTTTATTTTTAAATATATCTTTATTGTTTTCAGAGAGGAAGAGAGAAGGAGAGATAGAAACATCAATCTCTCTTACATCAATATTTATCTTTTTCTATCTCTCCCCCCTCCCTTTCACTCTCTCAAAAAATATCAATGGCCGAGACCGGTTTGGCTCAATGGAAAGAGCGTCGGCTTGGGGACTGAAGGGACCCGGGTTCGATTCCGGTCAAGGGCATGTACCTTAGTTGCGGGCATATCCCCGGTAGGGGGTGTGCAAGAGGCAGCTGATCGATGACTCTCTCTCATCGATGTTTCTAACTCTCTATCTCTCTCACTTCCACTCTGTACAAAATCAATAAAATATATTAAAAAAAAAAAATATCAATGAAAAAATGTCCTCAGGCGAGGATAACAAAAAACATACTTTAATGTAGCACAACTCAGAAAAGTATAGTGAATGGATGGAATCTACTGTATGATGAAAATGCTACACCACACAATACAATATACAGATGATGTATTATAGAATTGCACACCTGAAACCTATATAATTTTATTAACCAATGTCACCCTAAAAAACGCAATAAAAAAGTTGTTTTTTTAAATGCTACAAATTGAGGGCAAGCACAGCAGCCTCCTTCCCAATGCTTGGCTGCAGGCTCCAGCAGCCCCGCCCCACCTGCCTGCCCTGCCTTGCCCAGCCCAGCCCCGCCAGGGGGAGGTGGGCTTCTAGGAGTTTCCAGCTCCATGTGGAGAGATTTTGATCAGCCCTCGCTCCCAGGGTTTCGCTCTAACTCACAGACTGCGACCAGGAGTGGCTTGGGCTCCCACAGTTTGTAGTCAGGCAGATCTCCGCCGCCAACTCAGCTCCACCCACGATGATGTGTGAACACCTTGGCAGGTTTGGCCTGAAGCTGGTGCGCAGGCGGGCCCTGGAGTGGAGGGAGAGGTCTGGCGGGGGCCTGGCCCAGTGCCTGAGCACCCTGGACCTGGTGGCCCTTGGGGTGGGCAGACCTTGGGGCGGGCGTGTACATCCTGGCAGGGGAGGTGGCCAAGGACAAGGTGGGCCTGGCCATCGTCCTCTGCTGCAGAGATGTCTGTGCTGTCGGGCTGTGCTATGCGGAGTTCGGGGTACGGGTGCCCTGCTCCGGGTCTGCCTATCTCTACAGCTATGTCACTGTGGGACAGCTGTGCGCCTTCATCACTGGGTGGAACTTCATCCTCTCCTATGTCATTGGGAGCACCAGTGTGGCCAGGGCCTGGAGCGCCACCATCGACAGCCTGACCGGGTACCACATGTCTCGGGCACTGCAGGAGAGCGTGCCTCTGTGAGTGCCCTTCTTGACCAACTACCTGGACTTCTTCGAGCTAGGCCAGGTGCTGCTGCTCACGGGTGTACTGGTCCACGCCCCGAACTCCGCATAGCACAGCCCAGACTGCATGGATGTCACAGCGAGGGCTGATAAAAATCTCTCCACATGGAGCTGGAAACTCCTAAAAACCCACCTCCCCAGGTTGGGCAGGGCAGGGCAGGGTAGGCAAGTGGGGCAGGGCTGGAATGGAACCAGGAACCCTTCAGTCTGCAGGCCAATGCTC